AGATAAGACTTTCTGCATATGGATTCATATTCTTCTTCTGGAGTTGGGCTGTCTGACGAAACGATCTGCAAAGAGTGAGACATCGATAAGTGAATCAGTCAAGTTTCAAATGCTCGTAGACAGTCAGACCCACAATACCCGACGGAAATAGGTGATCATTAAACATTGAAAAGCGCGTCTCAAATTCGAAAAGTTTTTAAATCGCAGAACCTTTCTCTCATATCCGTTGGAAGCTATAGAAAGATTCTGTCAAGTGCCTTGCAATCACACAAACAAATGAGCTAAATGTAATATACCGGTTCATTAAGGTCGCTGGTCCCTAGTTTTGTCAAGTGCCTGTCTGGAGCAGTATCCCAAGTCCCGCTCATCTGATAATTTCATGGTGTAATCTTTTTTCAATGATGCATTTATTGTTTCTACTGTGCATTTTTTCTTCAATCGTAACTTGTTAATAGATATAACTCCGAAACTGTATGTTAAAATTCCACTTTTTATAGTATCATTGACTACTTTTATTTTTATATTCTTTCTCTTCGAAAAATCTTTGATTCTGTTAAAACCTTACTTTGCAAAAAATTTAGTTTTCAAGAAAAGCATAGGTTGTTTCACAAGAGAAAGTGATCAAAAAAAACGAATCAAGCACTCAATTCTTCCATTAGAGTGGAATATTCACATACAGTTTTGGAGTCGTACTATTAATTGTTAAGTTACGATTGAAGAAAAAATACATTAAAATTGACAAAAAAGAAACTATATACATCATGAAACGATCAGACGAAAAGAATCAAGAGTACTCCCCCTCACAGGTTGGTGAAAAAAAGGGACATGCGAGCTTAAAACCCAAATTACAAACTACATCGATACATTTTGCAATCAAGAGATAAAATTTAATCAACGCAATTCGACTACACCTAGAAGGCAACTATTGGACCAGCAGTCCCTAGTGTGCCAATCATTTAATTTTAGAGCCGCCGAAATTCAAATTTTCAAATAACAAATAAACATAAATCCCATGTGGTAAGGGTTCCTAAATTTTAGTTCGCAATGCCAATACCCCTCAAGACGACGCATTTTTATCTCCTTGGTTCCCTCTTCGTCCATTTCTTTCTTGTTTCTTTCCTCATCCCTGACTTTGGTATCTATCTACGCAACCAGATGCACGAGTATTACGTATCTTGAAAAGTTACATTCTGTCGATTTTTTTGACATTATATTGTTTTTTTTAACATTATGTAGATTTTTCTACAAGATGTTAACTTAGCACTAGCTGATGGACACGTTGTGATCTCTATTTGTAATTGTACGTGTTGCCTAAACATCATGAGGCTTCAGTTATCCATGTTTGGCACTGATGTGATATAAAGCCTGATAATTAAATTGGATTCTTCTCTCAAATACACTTACTTGAGATTCAAAGTTAGAAATTAGTTGCGCATCGACTTCTTATCCATTCTGGAAATTACGTATGCAAATTTGCTGAATTTCAAAAATGAGAGAGGTACGAAACAATTATATTCACTGTATACTGTCTAATTACAAGATTCCCCGTTATTCGCCTCAAAGTTTTTGAAAACACAAAATAACGTAAACAAATCGTAAATACAGCTTTGAACATAACCTGTCTTCAGAAAGGACAACTTATAAAATAAATAACCCGTCGGGCAGGGCTCATAGATATACTTCACTGGCAGCATATTCAGTAATGATTTTCTCATACAGCAAATATCACTGATTTTATACACATGCAGACCAGTACAGACAATCATCCAGATTCAACCAACTTTCTTCTCAGAGATGAAAACTATAGACTACTCGGCTTCACAAAAAGTATGCAACCAACAATGCCTGTAGCTGAGCTATTCCTCCATAGATGGACGCTCACAACGATCCTAGTGAGCAAATGTGGAATGACTGTTTGCACCCTAAAAACTACCTAGTCTGCAAGATGACATTTTATACCGTTTTTGTGATATTTTATAGGTTCCTTACATAATACCCGTGCGGAAAGTCGAATCGACCTACCTCACTTTGTAAACGAGAGTGAAGGTCCGAAGGTCCAGCGGACAGCTCTGACAGACAGACTGACACATAAAACTGGTTTGACGAAGTCTCGAACACATTATAGGTGCTATTTCTCCACTGTATAGACTCCTGATCGTGAAGTGCATCGCTGCTATGTGTCTTAAAGTATTGTTTTTCATTTTTCCAGGTGTTAGCTAAATAATCAACACTAACTAAAATACAACATGTGAGTGAAATCAATTTGTTAGGTTAAATTGCAGCATTGATACTCTCAAATGAAACACTTTTAGGCTCAACTTGTGATTGTTACCGTTTATCAGGAGTATGTGAACATTTCACCAAGCTAAATTATGACTTCATAGATCAGTCCTAAAGCTAAAAAAGTGCAATATGATAGGCAGGTATGCAAATTATGTCTACACAATGACTCTATCAAGATACTACAAAGAACTCTACTAAAACGTATTTTACATATAGGTATGTCTAAAAAGGTCTGTAATATTAAATTTTGATTTTATCATAGGATATTTTGAAACTGATGTGGAGGTAAAGTTCAGACATATGAGCGGACTGATGGATGCCTTAATATCTGCCGGCTTTGCAACATGATTTAAAGTCAAGTTTTTCAAGATGTTTCAACACTAATGGAGAAATATGCAACCATATAATATCCCCAAATGCTTTTTCAATACTGTTAACATAAAGTTCAAAAAAATCAAAAATACCTCTGAAAACATTGTTATTACAATACTTTACTTGTTATAAAGTGTTACTACAACAAAACAAGTTGCTTGTCTATCCCACGAATCGACAATGTGGTGGGGATGATTTTGTAATAAATGTTTCTTTAAAATCTTTTCAGAAGGGAGATCATTGGGTGATGGTGACCGAACTGTAAATTCATTTTATTTCATTCGTACAACGGTACGTACAATAAGGTATTCACAAACAATTCTTCTGCTCTTTTCCCTAGTCACTTTTGTCTGAAGTTTTCTATATTGTCCAAGACGGTTGGGTCTCCTTGACTTTTTGTTCAGGTCCATTTTCACTTAAGAGCGCGATAAGCTATTTCTTATTATATTTCTGACCGTTAGTAAAACATTTTAGAAGAAAGATTCTTGGGTTTTGGTCAACGTAAATTCATTTTATTTTGTTCCTACACTGTTTCGGTCATATAGGTCATCCTCAGTTGTAAGTATTCAAAAAATTATTCTGTTCATTTTCTTAGTCAAAGAAACAAAAGTTCAAGGAGACCCAACACTGAAGGACAATACCCAAAACCATTGGCTGAGGAAAAGAGCAGAGTATTTATTTAATACTTCATTGTACCTGAGGATGGCCTAGATGGCCGGAACGTTGTACGAATGAAATAAAATGGATTTACGTTGATGGAAGCCCCCGAATATTTATTCTAAAAAGTTATACTAACGGTTAGGAATATGATAAGGAATTGCTTAAAATCCTCTAACACTCCACATATCGGTTAGGCTTTTTGTAATAAAACAATAAGTAACGGTCAGGAATATAATAAGGAATTGCTTAAAATCCTCTAACACTCCACATATCGGTTAGGCTTTTTGTGATAAAACATCAAATGGTACCAGTATCTCTTTGCTCAATTATTATAGTTATACCCTCCGTCGCACATCCTCGCAACGTGGCAACGTAGCGCTGTATCGATCGCCAGTTTCAGCTAACAGCAGCAGCAGAATCGCAGCAGCAGAATTTCCAGCTCTCTGGCAGTGCTGCAGAGTCCTAGACGGAACGAGTCTTCGAGCGGCTTATTTTTTAAGGCAAATCTCTTTTATTAGTAGATGCCGAGCTGCATTGTTTTAGTCTGGTTCAACGCTTCGTCGAGATCCTTCTCGGAAACCTAATACGCAGGAAGTGTAAAAATTAGGTCAATTTGCTACTGCACAGTTACAATGAAATGTACTTGCTTGTTCTTTTTATGTTTCGTGCTTCCTGAGGAATGATTTACTCGATACTACAGGGTGTCCAGATAGTTGGATTTTTTTTTCATAAACAACTACGTTTATAATAACCAGGCTGATGTGAAGTGCCACAACAACGAAATTTAAAAAAACAGATGAAAAAGTACTTTCTGTTCATCAAAAAATACAGCTCTGTCACTTGTAAGTATTGCTTAAAGTTATCTGCGAGCAGATTCAAAGACAAATGTATGTGCTCGATGTAGCCTCCAAGCAAAAACAGAAATCACGAAGGATTTTGAAAAATGATCTGAATGTACTTGCAAAGCCTCGGTAGCATTTCGAAGATACGCACCGTCAAATAAAATAATACGTACATCTCCGCTATTGCTGTATGAGTGTAGCATTTTTGTTGTGTTTTATAAAAAGGTTTTGTTTAACAAGGCGGCAAGCGCCAGGATTGAATACTGATGGGCATCGTACTTGTTCACGTTTGATTTGCTCGAGGTGCATGACCGGATAAGGTTTTGTTTAGGTTTGATTTATTTTGGTGTAAATGTTACTAAAAACAACTGATTATTTTTCCAAGATCTATATGCCGTGTAACGGAAAGTCCCAACTTCGAGGACAATTTCTGTGTCTAGACATATATGCAATTGGTAGTGTTTTATTTTTTAGCTTGTTGTTGAACTAAATGGTGTTTTGTTTTACCTACTTACCTCTGACAATCTACGGTCAACTGAAAACTAAAATGGTCCATCCTCGTAATGGAAGTCGTCCCCATAACCGTTCGAATCTGTATTGAGGTATGTTAGACCAAAATCTTTTAACCGTTATAATATTAAGAACAGGTGTAATATAATTAACTATTCTCAGATACCATTCTACTTAAAATACATAATGGCCCAAATTCTTCATTTTCAAATATTTGAAAAGTAACTTTTGAGAAAATAGAATGTTTTCAAATATCGATTTTACCCTCCATTCGGAGGAATCTGATCATAAGCAGAATCACTTTTTGTGTGTGGCTGAATTCATATCAATAACCGAAAGAGATCGTAGACGGTTTTTGGGTTTTCAACATTGTTTTTGATTTTGATTTTATTGGAAGCTGCCGAGCTGTATTGCTTCGGACTGGTGCAATGCGTCAAAATTATCCTGTTAAACTAAATATGAAAGAATTAGAAAAATAAATCAATTTGCTGGACCTGTCTTTTATCTTTTCAAGTTGTTTACGAAACCTTTTAATGAAACTTTCCCCGCGATCATTAAAATCCATTGTAGACTGGCTGCTGTAGAGCTCAATAACGTGAATAACAATTGTACTTTTTCCTGATACATCATGATTATTTAGATTCAGATAGTGACAGAAAAATTCTAATCGTACAAAATTCATTTGCTAGGTTTATATGCGGTATCCAAAATATGGTCATATTCCTATAATTTAAATCTTCACCAATAAAATTACACATCATAAAATATTAATAAGCAATAAAACTAGTATTGATTAATAAGATTAAGTTTGGGACCGTTGTACATAACAATAATGTCAGATTAAGGGGCTTATTAGCCCAGTGCTGCACCGAAATGTCTTACATGAAAGCCGTTATACTTTTCAAATAACCAGTGTAACGAACAACGTACGAGAATTGCAGGTGTTAATAAATCAGTAACCGAGCATTTAAGTTCATATTGAAATCTCATGTTTTAGAAAAACAGCAATTAGCTTATTAACGTTTTACCTTTTATCCCTCTTCATATACTATATAAATTGTTGTCTCATCGTACGTTACCTATGTTTCTACAACAAACTCCTATATTTCTATAAGTTAAATTTTCACCAATAACATTAAATTTCAAAAAATAATAATAAGCAATAGACCTAGTTTTTAATTAAGTGTAGGAGAGTTGTACATAACAATAATGTCAGATTTAGGGGGCTGTTTTACTTATCAAGTAGCCATTGTAATAGAAGAGTTACCTCGGGTGTTAATAAATCAGTAACCGAGCATATACATATACATATTGAAATCTCATATTTTAGAAAATCATCAGTCAGCTTATTTACATTTTACCTTTAATCCCCATTCAATATATTAAATAAATAATTGTCTCATCGTACGTTAACTATGAGGATATCTAATTGAGTTATGAATATTATTCATACATATGCGTTTTGTTAAATGTTACATTACTTTCGTTGACTGGATTAGCACAATTTGTCAACTCCTCCTTTCATTGTTAGCCAATGAAGCCATTTACTATTATCACTATTGTTTGGTCTAAATGACCCTGTTCAAAATAGCATTTTTGCTTCTACTACAAACTCGAAGATAAACACTTATTATTTTGATAACTGGCCTAAGAATCTTGATTTACGAGTTACAAGATAATTTTTGACAAAATATAAAATGAGCCACCACCTACAAATAAGACAGCACTAAGCGCCATCTATCACCAAAGTCGACCACTACGGAGAGCACATAGCAACTATTTATTGGAACTTTCAATGTCTCAGTTGGCGCTTAATAGCTCAGTTACCATGTGACTGCTAGACGGCTGATCATTCTGGCATTTGACAAACTAAAAATGATAGTTTCGTCCCTTCGCCAAAACACAGCCAATAACCGACATCTGTTTTGTGCTTTTAGCCTACTCATCAGCATGGTCCAGGCTGGGTTATTAAACACTAACGGAGATCTTTATAACAAATATCTTTCTATGCATTGATCGATTTTGGTGATAGATGGCGCCTTGCACTGTTTTTGTTCAGGTAGACCTCCTCCTGGATAGAGAATTGCTGAGAAGCTTTCGTCTTCTGGTGGTACGGACAAAAGCATCATATTAGTCCACTACACTATGTTTTCTCAGTTTTCAACATTGTTTTGAGGCAAAGATATTATTTAACTAATAGCAGTCGAACTGCGTTGTTTAACTGGTGCAACACTTCGTCGAAATTCTCCTTCGAAACTTGATATGCAGGAAATGCAAAATCAGGTCACTTTAACTGCTGACGCTGTACAGTTACAGTAAAATGTACTTCTTTGTCCAATATATTCTGTGTGCACTGAGGTGTGATACATTTGATACAAGCCTTTTGTGAAAATTCACGCAAGTTGTTCTACGTCTCTTAGTTCTATTTTATACTAACCTGTATTGAAGGTAGCAGAAAGGCGTGTAATATAGGGGATAAATACGTATACAGGTGTGGGGAAATTCCAATTTGGGAGATAGGAAAAAATGGGCATTGGCGGGAGTCGAACCACATCTCCGACCTAACCAGTTTGTCTACAGCACCAGCTGCCATTTACTTTCACGATTGACTGTTAGACGCAAATTTAATCCTGCACACGTCACTGTTCCTTCAATCTGCCTAGTTGCACAATGCCGCCTCGTAAGTAGATATCACAGTACTACGATGCAGGCTCAGTAACCTGTATATGATTTTTCGGATAAACGCATCTGTAACAGTGAGTATGTATGATTTAGGAAAAATGGGCGCCATCGGGATTCGATCCCGCATCTCCACCATTCTGTGGAACCGACCCAACCAATTAATTTACAGCACCAGCTACCAACCAACTCTCACGATCGACTGTTAGACGCAAACTCAAACATACCGATGACACTGTTCCTATGTTCTTTCTAGCTGACTGATGCCCCATCTAGCGGCGTTCACTCATCTAGTTTTCAAAAGCTACCTAGGCATAGTAGTGATTTTGGACCTGTGGAAGTTTCATCCAAATCCGAGCGGGCCAACGATTCGCGGACTGGCAGACAGACAGACTAATGCAAATTGGTAACAAGGTTTATCGTTATAATATCTCATTCGATTTTTTTTGCGATTACAATACTATATATACTACATAGGAAGAAAACGCGAATATCGGGCACTCGTATTTCCAGGAAAAAAATTGTTCTAATTCTAATATAGGAGTATATCGCTCATTTTTTAAAAGTGGTTATGCAGTATACGAAATATCACTCTATTCCTTAGAAACAAAAAAATTAAGAAAATTCACGCGCGGTAGCTTTTAAGATTTCTGACAGTGTATAACAACCTGCTTTCTATGCTAAAACTATCCTAATCAATAGGCACGATTTTAAGTTTTATTGATGTTTTAGATATTATTAATTAATTTCAGTGTTTTTACAGTGTGTGTTATATCGATGTTTCATACATCTTGTGAAAATTTTGATCGCTTTTACTTCCCATGCCCACTGGAGATATATTACGTTTTTTGGATGTAATATGTCATGTACGTCACGAAAAACCATGCCAATCAATTCTTTCGGTCTGTCTGTCGGTCTGTCCGCTAATCTGATTATCGCTTATAACTTGAGAAGTACATCTCGGATTTCGATGAAATTTTTACACAATGTCACTGCTATGCCAAAGACGCAAAAGCTTTATAGTTTTTGAAAATCGGTCCAGTAGCGGCAGCGAAAAAGGCCAAAAACGAAAATGAATAAAAATCGCACAAATTCCGTTGTTTGACGTTTCAGAGAATCCTGATTAGTTTTGAAAGAAATATTGGGTGTAAAAACACTTGGGAGTGGGAACGGTTTATTTCAATATCTTGATGTTAGTATATTTATACGCTCCCAAGCTTGATAATTCTGCGCTATTACTAGACATTTCACACATCATATATTTCTTTGTAGATTCGTCCTTAAAACTTATAATATTCCTAGAGACGGATCGCATATCTACCGGCCGCGGTTACCGCTCCCGGTGGCATGTCGCGGTATAGCTCATAGTGTTTCCGCGTTGTCTCGTCTGACTGAGTTAAATATCGGGGAGAGACGGCGTTTCAAGATGTACTACCGACAGGGCACAAAAGGAATGTCTATGGACTAGTTATTGTATGGACCTGTTTGACTGACGTTTTCTAAGAGGGTTTAGCTTGTGCATAATCCTCTATTACCTGATAATGGCATTGCGTGGGAATTTGCAGGTTCAACCTACTTGATGCCATTTTTTCTGATATGGTCGTGGCGCATGCTTCCATTGACTCCAGCTGTTGGATCTAGTACCTCTATCCTATGCGAAACAGTTTTATAACAGGGTGAAAATAGTTTTGTGAACCCAGTACGTTTGTGAAATTTCTTGAATTTGATCGAACATATTACATGACAACCGTAATTGCGTTTGAAGTAATTACTTATGTTCACTTTTATTTGTAACATGTATCGGTTGGACAGGATCTTTAATGAATCGTGTAAATAAGCTAACGATATTAACCAAACATCTTTGAAGTTACGTGAGCCACGATTGACAATAGTCACAGCGGTGGTCATGGCTTTCATTCATGGTAGTGGCAAGTTGTCACAGATTGAGCTTCATGGAGATAATAAAGGGTTTGGTGCATTTTTCGAAGTATAGGAATTAAACCGAAATTATAATGACTACTGACAGTTTCTTACGTTGTAGCTGAAAATGGCATGACACGTATAGTATATCATACTTGAGAAACACATTCAAGCATAAGCATATATTTTAGTCTTGAACGGTGCAATTACTTTCTAAGAAAAAATACCTCATTGAAGCTGCAACTACATCACTGCAATGAATACAGCCTAATACAGTAGCTGTATTAGTTTTGTAAGCGAAGGTTAACGGCCAAATTAACCCCCTCCAATACACAAGCAGTGGTATAATAGAGTAAAACATTCCAAGTTGCCCGAAAGTGATGAAAGAATACTGGGCATTTTGAGAAAGAGTCAAGTTTACAGTGCATTGAAAAACAGCAAGAGCAGCGACAACGAGAGCTCAGCTGTTGAACAGTTCGGGTAGCTTTTTAAAACCCCTCTGGAATGACTGAAAAGACTTTGAGTCTGCTTTTTAGTAGGTGCCAGTGGCATAAAAAGTAACAAAGTTATGAGGAACATAAAACTGTTCGCTTGAAGCGAAAGCTAAACAGTAGAACTAATAGAGTTATGACTAATATAAAATTTACAACTTACTTCGCAGATCGCCAGAACAGTAAAATTGTAACTTCACCTCAGGGACCGAAATGCAAGCAAATCCATTTATAATTGCAACATAAATGTTATGCTTCTACAAATCACGATGCTATTGAGGGTTATCCCCAGAAAATTGTGCCAAGGCAGTACATTTTATTAAAGTGGTCTTGTTGATTACGTACAGATTTAATACTGCGCT